ATTTATTATATGGAATCATAATTATTTTTACATTTGGCTCATTAGGCGAGGGACATTTTGGGGACTACCCAATCTTATTCAGCTTTGTGTCCCAGTAACAGTGCCTGGTACATGAAAAGCATTAACTATTTGTTTTTTAAAAGAATAACTAATGTTATACTCAAGATTTGCTAATCATCTACATTTTATTTCTTCCTCACCTATTTCAAAGGTATCTGAAAGTTAGAAAAATATATATAGTGCTGGGTATTTTATCATATATGAATTTGTTAATATGCCAATTATGTTTGCTCTGCTTTATGCCGAGATAAAGAAAATTTTATCCTTTATCTTCAGTAACGGTTGTTAGAGTGTTGATATTATCTAAAATATTTGTAAAATTGTAAAAATTTGTAAAATCTACCTTTTTTTTCATATGCAATGTAAAATGTAGCTTATGAATATACTGATCTGAACCCTTACCTTCTCTAAAATCTAGAGTTGAGGCAGAGAGGTACAAGAATAGGTGAATATGTTCTAGCAAATGACAAATTAGGAAATAAATTATTCCCCTCAATTGTTCCTGTGATGTACATGGAAAAAACATCACGAATACAAAGAAAGTTAATTTCTTGAAACGTTTTTCAAGAATATAACTGGTGTAATTTGTATGCTTCAGTATCACCCAGTGTCTGTCTGCCATCTGTTTATCTTTCCCTTCTTCTTTCTCTCTCCTTCCCCTATTCCCCCTTCCCCCTCCTCTTCTGTCTCTTCTTCCCGCCCTACCCTCCCCAGGAAAAAAGCTTTTTTATTTGATTCTAAGATTTATTACCATGAAAACATGTGAGGAAGAGAAATAAATCTTGCCATAAATGTGCCTTGTGCGTCATTTGGAATAATAGACGCAGTGACACCTCACAAGGCGTTTTACAACCAGTGATTAATATCTACTCCAATATATTTCTGCTTTGTAATACACTTGGGCATTCTTGTTTGGGAAAATTGTCTACCCACCGTGTAGGAAAAGAACATTTTCTTCCCAATTGCAGTGTAATTGCTAAAAATCAATTTCAGAGTCAAGAGATAAAACCTCCAAAGTTCTTTAACTGCTCCTGCTGTTTCTGGGCTATGTGGCAGGTACATATTTCTATTCATATAGTATGAATGAGTAAAGGCTGTAAGTCCTGCATATCCAAAGGTAAAATGTAAACATAGAATCAAGCAAAAAATTTCACAATAAGCAGAGAATGCGCAGCCCAGGAACTTTAGAAGTAGACAGTCTAGTCAGAGTTTCAAGAGCTTTGTCTCTCATTGTCATGAGACCTCAAGTAAGCCTCGGTTTTCTTACCTAAAAAATGGAATGATGTGAAGATTATTTGAAATATGTAAAAGCACTTAGTGCCAAGTACATAGTAAGTGCTCAATAATTGTTAGTTATCTTTATAATACCATTATTGCCAGGTGCAATGGCTCACTCCTGTAATCCTAGCACTTTGAGAGGCCAAGGTGGGTGGATCACTTGAGGCCAGGAGTCCAAGACTATCCTGCCCAACATGGGGAAACCCTGTCCCTACTGAAAATACAAAAATTAGCCCGATGTGGTGGTGCATGCCTATAATCCTAGCTACCAGGAGGCTGAGGCACAAGAATCACTTGAACCCAGGAGGTAGGAGGTTGCAGTGAGCTGAGATCGCGCCACTGCACTCTAGCCTGGGTGACAGAGTGAGACTCAGCCTCAAAAAAAAAAAGGAAAAAAGTGTGTGCGCATATGTATATATTCACGTGTGTGTGTGTGTGTGTGTGTGTGTGTGTATAAATAAAATACCATTATTAAAAGAGACAAACCAGTTAAAATTTCTCCTGGTACAGTAATCTCCATCAAATGTGAATAGAATTAGAGCATAATAAATGTTTTTTGTACATGAGAATTTTGTTCCAGTATAAACAAATTAGAAGCCTCTTTTATGAGAAATAGGAAAAGGGGAACCAGAAAAAGTACCTTATGGCAAAGGGTAGAGAAATTAATGGTTTTTGCAATGAAATTTTGGCAAATATTAAAGGGAATTGGAGAAAGCAATCATAAGTCTTAAAAATATACTCCAGTAGCATTTTTGAGGAGTGAAGGGTTAGTAGTATATGCTTTGGAATTAGGTTATCATGATAGAGCTAAGACTGCATATGAGTGTGCATTAGGCCTGGAAAACTCAACTTAGAGGTACTTTAATCAGCAGGCAGAAGGGGAGAAAAGTTAGGGAAGTTCTTTGTTTTTTATCATGAAAAATAAGAACCTCCTAGGACCTCCTAGAAGACTTTCATTTAGGTCTCATTGGTCAGAACTGTGTCATGTGGCCACCCTTGTGCATAACAGGGCCTGGAAAATCAAGCGTCTCTTCTGGGGCTGGATGCCCTGCTGTTCTGAATATAATCAGATTTCTGTTAACAGGCAGGAAGGGTATGGGGACTAGATATGGGCCAGGAACTATCTTATGGGTTCTGCTACCGCAGGTATTAAAGAGGTTCCCCATTTATTCCTTCTTATGCAAATGATTCTGCATCCCTTTGACTACAGTAGAAACCAAAGGTCAAGACACAGGAGGTGTAAGTTACTAACCTGGAGTCAAAAAGTTTTTAAGAAGTTGGATGGAAAACCATATGATTACTCTTTTTGGTGCATTCATTAACAGAAGCAAAGTTAAATACATTTACAAAAACATCACCAAAACCATAGGGAATGGCAAATCCAGAAAGCATTGCTAGTAAGTAAAGATTGTTAAGTGCATGTGTTTGTCTAGTTAACTCATAGTATCACCTTTAAGGTAGGTGAAATATTGATACTGTGTTTTTTGGTGTGCCATCTTTATCGTTTTATTTAAGTGAGCATAATTATAAAGATTTTCATGAAGCTCTCCTTGGCCTTAGATTTGTAACTCGGCTTTCACTATAAGGGAAGGTATTTTACCACCACGGATGAGTAGAAATTATTGTAATTTACTTATTACTTTGAATAACATTTAATGAAAAGATACAATTTTGAAAGCTAATGCTATATTTTAGTCACTTAATAGAATTTGTTGTCTTGCCTACCTATTTTAGTCTTTGGCAACTAATAAATATAATGTCAAAGGGGAAAGTCGTATTCAGTACCTATATTATAAAAAAATATATACTTGTAAATATGCATGTTTAAATCCTCTTGGGCACAATTGGTTAGTCTCAAAATAGATTTTCCCATCTCTGAATGCTCAGCTATTACTTTCAGTGACTTAAAAATGTGGACACGGATGGGGGTTTTATGGTATATAATATGCAGCTGGAGTGTAACAAAAGAAAGTATGTATACTGGGATTTTTTTTTAACTTAAAAAGTGTTTTAGGGGATTTATACTTTAATGATGGGCTAAGACCCTGCCGGAGGACACCCTGTATAAAACAAGTATAAGACTTGGATATAATATAAAAAACAGCTGCCCAAAGGCACTGGAGAATAAGCAGACCACAGTGTAATTGCCTTTTTGTATTATGTCCAGGTTCTATAGAATATGTTACAGTGCATGATTAGAGGAGGAGGGAGGTTCTATAGAGTATGTTACAGTGCATGATTGGAGGAGTGAATTTCTTTTTTTGTTTTTTTTTGGGATGGTGTTTCACTCTTTTTTGCCCAGGCTGGAGTGCAGTGGCGCCATCTTGGCTCACTGCAACCTCTGCCTTCCGGGTGCAAGTGATTCTTCTGCCTTAGCTTCCCAAGTAGCTGGGATTACAGGTGTGTGCCACCATGCCCGGCTAATTTTGTATTTTTAGTAGAGATGGGGTTTCACCATGTTGGCCAGGCTGTTCCTGAACTCCTGACCTCAGGTGATCCACCCACCTCGGACTCCCAAAGTGCTGAGATTACAGGCATGAGCCACCACGCCCTGGCGGAAGAGTGAATTTCTATAGGGTATGTTTTTGTTTTGTTTTGATTTTTGTTTTTTGTTTTTGAGACGGAGTCTTACTCTGTCGCCCAGGCTGGAGTGCAGTGGCTGGATCTCGGCTCACTGCAAGCTCCGCCTCCCGGGTTCACGCCATTCTCCTGCCTCAGCCTCCTGAGTAGCTGGGACTACAGGCGCCTGCCACCACGCCCAGCTAATTTTGTTTTTGTATTTTTAATAGAGACGGGGTTTCACCGTGTTAGCCAGGATGGTCTCGATCTCCTGACCTCGTGATCCGTCCGCCTCGGCCTCCTAAAGTGCTGGGATTACAGGTGTGAGCCACCATGCCTGACCTCTATAGGTTATATTATAGTGCATTCCCTGTGAAAGAAATTTCTGTGTCCATGTCTTTTATCCTGGAGCTAAGTTTCATTTACGTGGTGCACTCAGTGGTGGCAGGGTGTGCCTGTGGGAAAAACACATTTTCAGGGAACCGGAAATCTAAGATGGGATAACTGACTGATAAGATAATGGGGAAAGGGAATGAGCCAGAGGAGGGATCCCAAAATCTTGTCTGTGGATATATCCAATCAAATTCTGAACAACCCATGTCTGGAACAAACACAAAGAAGCTTAGCTAAAGACTAAAGATAAGAATTGAGAGGAGAGCTGCTGCCCCAGAAACATAATTTGCAATTCAATACAAGCAAGAAAACAATGTACAAATTAATATTCCAGATGCAGGGCAAAGTTACCTGCTCTCTGTAGAACCAGGATCGTAGTGTAAGAGAGAAAAATTGTTTTTCCTCTTACCCCTCGGAGTTCTTAGCTGGGACAGACCCCTGTAATAAAAGACAAATTAAGAAGAGAAAAACAAATGAGTGTTTTAATGTGTGTATTTCATATGCACGTAGGACGTACCCAGGGAATGAGTGAATCTCACAGAGATGGCTTAGAAACCCAGCTTATATCTCATCTTCAGCAAAGAGCAGTGCGTTTTTAGAGCAGTGACAAGACAAAGGACAGGGACTTTTAGTGTCTGGGATGCAAATCATAGAATGGCAAACAAATGGGGTTTGTAATGTAGAATTCTGTGGTGCCTTCTTCAGGCTGATGCCCCCCAAAGATTTCTTCCCTGGTTGGGAGCGAAGGAGGGACACAGTTTTTAAGTCCTGCTTTTAGGCAGGTGGGGGAGGGGAGAGAGCTATTCTGGCATCTACTTCTCAGTTGTCTTCAACTCAAATTCATCCTTATGTCAAAAATGCATGATTTTGAGGTGGCATATTCTGCTTTTCTACATAAAAGACACATTTTCAAAAGAAAAGAACATTAACTGGGTCCAATCCTGAAAAGAACCAGGTAGTGAAACTAGTATGCAACGATTTTAAACTGACTACTGTAACTCTCCTCCATGAAATAAAACAAAATATGCTTTCAATTCATGAAAAATGAGGAAATCTCAGTAGGGAAGTAAAAACCATTAAAAAAGAGTCTCATGGGTATTTTAGAACTGGTAAATACAGTGTATGACAGTTAAAAGTTACTGCATGGCCTTAGCAGGGGAATGAGAAGACTGTCAGTGCCCTGTGAGATCTGCTTGCCCACTGCCCACACAGAGCTGCCTTATCAAGACGGGAATCACAACACAAAGTGTAATTCACACAAAGCCAGCTGAACTGGTGACCGGAGTTTTTTACTCAAGCCAGTCTCCCTGAAAACCTGGACTGGGGTTTTTAAAGGATAATTTGGTGGGTGGGGGCAAGGGAGTGGGAATGCTGATTGGTCGGATCCTAGATGAAATCTTAGGGGGTCACAGTGGGTTCTTCTTCTTGTCTTCTGTTCCTGGGTGGGATCACAGAACCGGTTGAGCCCGATTACCAGTCTGGATGGCACCAGCTGGTGCATCAGAATGCAGAATGCAGAGTCTGAAAATATATCTTGAGCACCATTCTTAGGTTTTACAGTAGTGATGTTATTCTGAGGAGCAATTGGGGAGGTTTGGAATCTTGTGGCCTCTGGTTCATGACTCCGACACCATAATTTCTAATGCACCACCCTGGAGGCAGAGGCTGCAGTGAGGCAGAGGCTGCAGTGAGCCAAGATGGTGCCACTGCATTCCAGCCTGGGCAAGAGAGAGAGACTGTGTTTAAAAAAAAAAAAAAAAAAAAAGGAATGGAGAGGAGTTAAGCTTTACAGGAGGGCTTGTGAGCCAGCCAGTTATTGCAAGGTTGGGGCCAGCCCCTTTACTACTTTGCTTTATCCTTTATCTCCATCAGTCAGGGAGAGCCTTGACACCCTGGACCTACATGGTGTGAGATGAATTTTTCCCACCTTCTCAAGTCACCACTTAAGGTAAGCTGTTTTCAACTGGAGCAGAGAGCCCATTCAGCTCAAGACTTTCAGGGGCTGGAATTCCGTCCTGGGAGTCCTTTGGTCCTCAGGCCTCATTTCCAGTGGCTGAGCTTGTGACAGAGTGTTGTGGGAAGTCAGGGACCCCAAACGGAGGGACCAGCTGGAGCTGTGGCAGAAGAACATAAATTGTGAAGATTTCATGGATATTTATCAGTTCCCAAATAATACTCTAATAATTTCTTATGCCTGTCTTTACTGCAATCTCTGAACATAAACTATGAATATTTCATGGACATTTGTCAGTTCCCAAATAATACTCTTATAATTTCTTATGCCTGTCTTTACTTTAATCTCTTAATCCTGTAATCTTTGTAAGCTGAGAATGTATGTCACCTCAGGATCACTGTTCTACAAATTGATTGTAAAATGTGTATTTGAACAATATGAAATCAGTGTACCTTGAAAAAGAACAGAATAATAGCGATTTTCAGGGAACAAGGGAAGACAACCATAAGGTCTGACTGCCTGCAGGGTCGGGCAGAATAGAGCCATATTTTTCCTCTTGCTGAGAGCCTATAAACGGACATACAAGTAGGGAAGATATCACTGAATTCTTTTCCTAGCAAGGAATATTAATAATTAAGACCTTTGTCTATAAACGGCCGCTCTGGGAGTGTCTGTCTTATGTGGTTGAGATAAGGACTGAAATATGCCCTGGTCTCCTGCAGTACCCTCAGGCTTATCAGGGTGGGGGAAAACCTCCTGGTAAATTTGACCCCCCTGGTGAATTTGAGGTCAGACCAGTACTCTGCTCTCAAACCCTGTTTTCTGTTAAGATATTTATCAAGATAATACATGCACAACTGAACATAGACCCTTCTCAGGAGTTTTTGATTTCGCCCTTTGCCTTGTGATCTTTGTTTTGCCCTTTGCCTTATGATCTTTATTGGCCTCAGAAGCATGTGATCTTTGTTCTCCTTTTTTGCACTTTGAAGCATGTGATCTTTGTTACCTACTCCCTGTTCGTCCACCCACTCCCCTTTTGAAGTCCTTAATAAAAACCTGCTGTTTTTGCGGCTCAGGTGGGCATCACGGTCCTACCGATATGTGACATCACCCCCAGAGGCCCAGCTGTAAAATTCCTCTCTTCGTACTCTTTCTCTTTATTTCTCAGACTGGCCAACACTTAGGGAAAATGGAACCTACATTGAAATATTGGGGCGGGTTCCCCTGATAGCAGAGGGTACAAGTTGAGTGGGGCTTTTCCCATTTATCTCACTGGGAGCAGTTTGCCTTTGGGTGGCCTGGCCGTCTCCACTGGTAGCAGTCATTTGGAGGAGTATCCTTAGGGAAACCTGGCGGGGGCTGGGGGCTTTAAAACAGCCAGCAGTTGAGCCTGCCTCTGCCTCTGCCTGTTGTTTCTGTTTTTCTTTGTCTTTCTTTTCTATTCTTTTCTTTCTGTCTTTCTTTTCTTTTCTTTCTTTTTTTTTTTTTTTTTCTCCCTGTCCTCCTTATTCTGCTTTTGCTTATAAAAGACTAAGGAAACAAATTTGATGTTTTTCTGCATAGGAGCCATGCTGTGTTACACAAGAAAGTTAGATGTTTGTTTTTGAGGATCTGGGGGTTGAATTCATTCCAGTTTTTAAAGAATACAGCCTAGAGGTGAGTCTGCAGGAACAGATGGGGTTTGTCCCACAGTGGGACTGGAAAAGGTGCCACTCAGGGCTGACTGAACCGCACTTTCTCTTAGGGCATCCTGCCAGTGAAGAGGGTTCTGCTCATGTCCGCTGAGGGATTCTAAGACTATCAGGATAAATTAACGAAAACCTAACTGTGTGCTACACAAGAGATCGACTTATAATATCAAGACAAAGGTTGAAAGTGAATGGATGGCCAAGTAAGCAAGCAGTGGGCATCTGAAAACTTAGTGACTATGTGCAAAATGTCCCATAAAATAGCTCTTAGGTCGAGCAGGTAAAGAGGGTTTTGTTACTTATGTTAATTAATTTTGTCCTGAATATAGCAAAAGGTTTTTGAATCAGGAATTTCTTCCTGTTTACCTGACCACAAATAACCAGTGGGCAGTTCCCAGGTCCCAGTTCTTATCTGTGGTACAATGCAGTGCAGGTAGGGTATGATGACCTTCATTGGCAAAGCCAGTATTGTAGATAAGGAAAGAAGGAAAGTAAATTTTCCGTGCTTTTTATAAAAGGGGAAAAGGCAATTGTCTCCCCTTCCCTTTCTGAGAGTCTCATTAGCAGCATCTTTCTTTAATCTTTTCAGAATGTACATAAATATCTGTATGGAAAAGATGAGCCCATTGTCTTCAGTTTTACAAGTCAGAAATGTCTCCTGGTTCTGGGGCCTCATGCACTTTGAAATGTAAACATGCACATCCAGGGTTGAGGAAACCTCTCTGGGGTTCACACTCTGCACACCTTAGTTCCTAAGGTTTACTTTTAGTCCAGAATCCCAAATTTCAGTAGAATTTGCCCTCAAAGCCCTAATTGTGCAGAACCTAAAAGTATTTTCTTTACAATCTCATAGAAGGGCATTTCATTATGAAAATGAATCAGTTTGTCAGGAAGACATACTAGTCATTAATTTGTCTATGCCTAATAACAGAACTTCAAAATATATGAAAGCAAAAAGAGAGAGAGTTAAAGGGAGAAATAAACAATTCCATAGTCGTAATGGGAGGTTTCTGACTAATTGATAGAGCAAGTAGATTTTTAAAAATCAGCAGAGGTGGGCCAGGCACGGTGGCTCATTGCTATAATCCCAGCATTTTGGGAGGTGGGTGGATCACTTGAGGTCAGGTGTTTAAGACCAGCCTGGCCAACATGGTGAAACCCCATCTCTACTAAAAATACAAAAATTAGTCGGGTGTGGTGACGGGTGTTTGTAATCCCAGCTACTCGGGAGGCCGAGGCAGGAGAATCACTTGAACCCAGGAGGCAGAGATTGCAGTGAGCCAAGATCGTACCATTGCACTCCAGTCTGAGTGACGAGCGAAACTCTGTCTCACCCTATTTCTACTAAAAATACAAAAATTAGCCAGGCGTGGTGGCAAGTGCCTATAGTCCCAGCTACTTAAGAGGCTGAGGTAGAAGAATCGCTTGAACCCAGGAGGCGGAGGTTGCAGTGAGCTGAGATCACACCACTGCACTCCAGCCTGAGTGACAGAGCGAAACTGTCGTGCAAAAAAAAAAAAAAAAAATCAGCAAAGGTAGGAAAGATCTTAACAATACTGTCAGCTACATTATTGAAGAATATTGCATATTTCTCTTGGGAAAGACTGCCAACAATGAATAAGAATACCTGTTTTGTTTGCTCTTAGTCTTGGGACTTAATTCTTTTTATATAATACTATTTTTTAATCTGATAAATCCATAGTACTTGTTTTTATTTGCATTTCATTAATCACTGAGTGATCAAACTTGTTTTATGTATGCTTATCATTTTTTCTTTTGTATGAGGATGTTAATAATTTGGGGTCTAGTTATGTATTATGTTTATTATTGATTTATATCTTATATTCCATGTATTTCCCCTTTGTCATTAACTTTTAAACCATCTTTCTTTTGTTCTTTATCTTACAGAAGTTGAAATGTTTGTGTACTTAAATCCATCCATTTTTTTCTTTTCTGTTTTTTTTTTAAATTCTTTGATTTCTGCTAGTTGTTTTTTGTGATTCTACTTATGAGTTATAGTCTAAATAGGGTATTATCTCATTAAAAAAAATGTAACCTTATAAAAACCAAGATGGACTCCAACTAACGATGCACTGAGACGGTCCAAGGAAAGTAACTGCTGTCTGTTATGTTTGTACAATTTAGACTTTAAAGTGTTTATTACAACATTGTCCCATTCTTGTGCAGTTAAAGTTATCTCTTCTTTTGGATCTCAGATCATTCATAACTTAATAAGACGGATCCAGACCAAAATTAAAGATCTTCTGCAGCAAATGGAAGAAGGGCTGAAGACAGCTGATCCCCATGACTGCTCTGCTTATACTGGCTGGACAGGTGAGACTGATACATTTTATTCTTAGATTATGAGATGTAAGACTTGACTTTGAAATTTTCTTCTCTTTTAAAGTGGTAAAGATTTGGCCAGGCACGGTGGCTGGTGCCTGTAATCCCAGAACTTTGGGAAGCCGAGGCAGGTAGATCACCTGAGGTCAGGAGTTCGAGACTAGCTTGACCAACATGGTGAAACCCCGTCTCTACTAAAAATACAAAAATTAGCCAGGTGTGGTGTTGGGCGCCTGTAATCCCAGCTACTCGGGAGACTGAGGCAGGAGAATTGCTTGAACCCGGGAAGCGGAGGTTACAGTGAGCCAAGATCGTGCCAGCGCACTCCAGCCTGGGCCACAGAGTGAGACTCCGTCTCAAAAACAAAAGAAAATAAAATTGTAAAGATTTTATACTTATTTTTTTTTTTTTGAGACGGAGTCTCACTCTGTTGCCTGGGCTAGAGTACAGTGGTGTAATCACAGCTCTCTGCAGCGTTGACCTCCTGGGCTCAAACCATCCTCCTGCCTCAGCCTCCCGTGCAGCTGGGACCACAGGCACGTGCCACCACACCTGGCTAATTTTTTAAAATTATTTTGTAAAGACAGAGTCTCACTATGTTGCCGAGGTTGGTCTCAAATTCCTGGGCTCAAGCGACCCTCCTGCCTCAGCCTCCCAAAGTGCTGGGATTACAGGTGTGAGCCACCATGCTTGGCTGATTTTATACCTTTTAATTGAAGTCTTGCTCTGTGTCTTCAATGATTAGATGATTTGGAATTTTATTTCTAAAGAAATGCTTTCTCCCTGAAGTTTGAACTTTAATATCTAGTGTGTCTTTTTTTTAATAACATCATTTATTTAACCTAATATGTAGCTGTGTATGAAAATGTGTAATTATTAAGAGCAAACTTGCCCTAGGGTCAATTTTAAAGGATTCTTTGCTGCTCTGGTCATTGTGACAGGCTGTGGTGAGTGGTCTCTCTGTTCTGTGATATAAACTATCTACCCTACTGCCTGTACTCATTTGACTCATTCGTGCACATAAATGTTTTTATTTTTATTTTAATGATAACAGTTAAACAACCAATAATATACTTCACATCAAAAAATGTAATTGAAAAATTAACTTGCCTTAACTAATCTTTGCATTCTTATTATTTTACCCGGTATTCAGAACATTCTAATAATTGTTTAGGGAATATAAAGGATATAAAAGATGACCTTGTTCTCAGGGATTAGACTGAAGTCTGACTAAATTCCTGATGACAATTTATATACACATTTAGAGTGATTTCTTGCTGAATTCTTATAGCTTAATTAATAAACAGCATAGGCCAGCTGTGGTGGCTCAAGCCTGTAATCCAAAGCACTTTGGGAGACCAAAGATGGCAGATCACTTGAGCTCAGGAGTTTGAGACCAGCCTGGGCAACATGGCAAAAGCTGTCTCTACTAAAAATACAAAAATTAGCTGGGCGTGGTAGCATGTGCCTATAGTCCCAGCTATTGGGAAAGCTGAAGCAGGAGAATTGTTTGAGCCCAGAGGTGGAGGTTGTAGTGAGCTGGGATCACATCATTACACTCCAATCTGGGCAACAGGAGTGAGACCCTGTCTCAAAAAGAAACAAACAAACAAACAAAAAACAAACAAAAAAGCATAGACAGAGATATACATACTAGAGCCACCATGAACCAAACATGGGGCCCTGATAATATTGTATTTGTATTTATATTTATATTCATTTTTGTGAACATTGTATTTGTATTTATATTTATATTCATTTTTGTGATGCTTATTTGCCTGTTATGCATGCAGCATTTACATAGTGACATTACATATGCCAAACTTCAAACTTATAAACCCAGACAGACATGGAGCCAGTTCACTTAGAGGGCCAAAGATGTCTTAAATGTAATAAAATTAGATAATTGTGGTTAACCTGAAGTAAAATACAAAGAATAAGGATATTTTGGAAGGAAAATAGCATAGCTATTAGTTGCACAGGTTTCCCCTAAAAATCTTTTACTTACAACTTTTTTGCTTGTTGAAAAAGGGTTTCTAAACCCCTGATTGTTAGGTTCTAAACTGGCCGTGCATCACAATTACCAAGAGAGCTTTGTAAGAAACTACAGTTCTCAGCCTCCAGCCCAGAACTGTTACATTAGGAACTCTACAGGCGGTTTCCAGAAATCAGTATTGCTTAAAAAATCCCTAGCTGTTGCTGTCTTTGGGAATCATCATGGAAATATTTTGTTTAGTGATTTAAATTAATAGGGTTTAGAGGTTCAGGTAGATGTATGGAATCCACTTAGACCCATACTTCCCTAAATTGTGTGTACAATATAAGAAGGCTGGGCACAGTGACTAACACCTGTAATCCCAGCACTTTGGGAGATGGAGGTGGAAGGATGGTTTGAGGCCAGGAGTTTGAGACTAGCCTGGGCAACATAACAAGACCCCATCTCTAAAATTAGCTGGGCACAGTGGTAAACACCTGTAGTCCCAACTACTCAGGAGGCTGAGGCAGGAGGATGGCTCAAGCCCAGGAGGTCAAGGCTGCAGTGAGCCATGAGTGCACTGCTGCACTCCAGCCTAGGTGACAGAGTGAGACCCTGTCTCAACAAAAGCAGAAGAAGAATGAATGAAGCACCCACAACTTACCCCTTTAGCAAAACTTTGAGACAGAAAACACACAAGTCATGTTGGGTAAAAAGAAGCAGCATCTAGAACGAGTGTGGAGAGCCATGGTGTGCAGGCGAGAAAGCCCAGGGTCCAGGCATGGCTGAATCACCCCGACCCCACCCACCCTCCCAGAATCAACAAATAGCTATTCCAGGCAGGGTGGGCCACAGCCTCAGTGGGAACTTCTGTGGGCACATCCGAGTGCAAAGTGAGAAGACAGTGCCAGGAGAAGCTGGGAATAAATGTGTGGAAGGTGCACAGGGAATGGGGTTGGAGAGCTGTAGAACAGGCATGGCTTGCAGAGAAGCAGGTTTAGCTTGCAAGGTGGAGCGGCATTCTTGCTGGCCCCCGCTGATGGTGTAGAGAAGGAAGGAAGCAGCAGCAATGGGCACTCCTGATACAAGAAAGGGTTTGAGAGTCAGGAGATCTGGCCACCAGACTCCTCGTGTATTACATACACTGTTCATCACTTAGCAAGAGGACACCGTTGGGATAAAAGTTGGGAAAGCTACCCTAACCATTTTCCCCTTCCAGGGATTTGTCCTATTAATAGTTGATATAGAAAAGTTCAATTTTAAGAAAAAATATAATTACTTTATCCATAATATAAGGAAGAAAAATAAAAATAAAAATTTCTCAATGGAGGGAGAAAACCGCACCAGGAAGATGTCACTACAAAGTGGAGAAAAATTGGTGGTACTTTCAGCATTCATTTTGTAACTTAGTTAAGCAGTGAGTTCACAACGCAGAGGTAAAGACACTCAGAGCAGAGATGGCTAGACGGTAAGAGCACGTGAAATAAGAATTGACAGACCAAGAGAAGAAATTTAAGGAAAAGATAAAAAATCATTTCAGAAATGAGACCAAAGCGCAAGGAGCCAAAGAAAGAGCTGACCCCACAGAGAGCATGCGGGCAAAGTGTCCTCGTGTCTAGGAAGGGTGTAATAAATGTTTGCTTAATAAATAAGTGACTAAATGAAACTATCAAGGAAAAAATGCAAAGGAAAAGCAAGGTAAATTAAAGAGACACTTCAGTTTTCCAGTCTAGCATTTAAGGAGTTTACAAGTCACCATTGTATCCTAGCAAGTAAAAAGCTTAACAGAGTGAAAACTCAGCAGCTCTTCTTAGCTCCATGAGAGAAGTGAGGTCAAAGGAGCAAACAGCTGCACCAAAAACTGGCGAAACAGGTGAATGCCGAGAACTACAGTCGTGCATCGCTTCACATCATGGATGAGTCCTGAGAAACACGTCCCTGGGCAGTTTCATTGTGCAGACTATATCATAGAGGTGCTCACACATACCTAGACTGTGTAGCCAACTACACCTCTATGCTCTATGATATAGCCTGTTGCTCCTAGGCCGCAAAGCTGTACAGCATTGCTGCACTGAATACTGTAGCAATTGTAACACAATGGTGTTTTTGTATCTAAACATAGCTAGATATAGAAAAGGTACTGTAAAAATATGGTATTATGATTATGATCTTATGGGACTGTGCATATACAGTTTGTTGTTGACCGAAACTTTGATGATGAATTACGGGGGCTAAGTGTGGACCCGCCAGAGAGACTTAAAAACTCGATGGGCACCCAGTCATAGCGGGCTCTCACACTTCTGTGAACTTTACCTCTAGGAGCTCCACCAGATCTTCATGGTGAACATCAGGGAAAACTCCCCTCATGCTTCTTGTAGGTTCAGGGGAAGGAACCATACTGAATTCCATCAGAGCCTTCTGTTCTTGACAAGACCTGCCCTCTGGAGAAACTGCTTTACTGGAGCCTCTCCTGCAAGGGGTTTATCACAGCCCCGCCTCCCTGGAGCGAGGGAGATGCCTAGCTCCAGCTGGCTCTAGCTTTCAGCATTGGGGAAGGGAGATAATCAGCTGCAGCTTCTGCTGGCCATCCTGGCCAACTGAAGGTGTGGGGATGGGAGGCACTGGTACAGTTCACAGTCCAAAGACACAGGCTGTCTAGAAGGTTGAGCCTGCTCACAGGTGTGTGCTCCCCAGCACCTCCCACCACATGCCTGAGGCCTGTTCATTCTAGCTTCTTTTACCTAGTGCAACATGTGCGCCTGCCAACAAAAAAATGACAAAGCATGATGACTTTTTTTTTTACTTTACCTATTACCATTTACTTTAAAATACTGAAGCATTAAGTATCTGTAACTGTAGGTGTTTAGATTCATAGGTTAATCAGATCAGCATCCTATTTTTAGAGTTTTCTGAGTCAATCGGAATACTCATTTGTAAGCCTTTATAGTGATTATTATGTTTGAAATTTGTAGGTACTTAAGTTTTACTGTCTGTTTCCTGTATGCTTATATTTTTTGAATGTAGAAAACATACTCTCAGGGCAATGATAAGCAACTCATGCAGAAGAATTTTTTTCAGACCCTCCAAATATGCTACTTTCTTATCTGTTTGACTCAACATCTTTAAAGAAGTGGATAATGATGAAAGACTTCAAAAAGTGTTAAGGATTAATTTGAAAGAGAAGTAATATACCCTGAATAGAAGAATTGAAGAAATAAGCAGCTAGATATTTGGAGAAATTTAAAAAGCAAAATGAAGCCGGGCACAGTGGCTCACACCTGTTAATCCTAGCACTTTGGGAGGCCGAGGTGGGCGGATCACGAGGTCAGAAGTTCGAGACCAGCCTGACCAACATGGTGAAAACCTGTCTCTACTGAAAATACAAAAATTAGCCGGGTATAGTGGCGCACGCCTGTAATCCCAGCTACTCAGGAGGCTGAAGGAGGAGAATCACTTGAACTCGGGAGGCAGAGGTTGCATTGAGCCAAGATTGCGCCACTGCACTCCAGCCTGGGCAACAGAGTGAGACCGTGTCTCAAAAAAAAAAAAAAAAGCAAAATGAAAAATAATAAAAATCAGAGTAGGATATTAGACAAAGACTAGACTATTGAAGAACCTCAACTTAAACATGAAAGAAATGTTTCATTTGGCCTTTTCACCAGCATGTCATGTCTGCCAATACTTGTTCCTATAAAAGACTTTAGTAAATACATATTTATGCTGATTCTTTTTTTTTTTTTTAACTTAGCTGTCATATTGTCTTCTCAAACCCAGATATACGAACATGCTTCTTTAAGAAGCCATATAGGCCGTTCTCTGGAGATTCTCGGATTCATTTGAAGATCTGAGTCTGTTCTTTATCCAAAATGGAAAGGTTGGTGGGTGATGAACACACACGCCCTTTGTACTGGTCGCCTTACTCTGTACTGTGTGGCTGCTCCAGAAATGGCGAGTTCACTCACCAGTTGGTTGGTCAGTTGTAGGGTTGTTCACGAAAGAACATTGAAAAACTGGGAAAAATAGGCCGGGCACTGTGGCTTACGCCTGTAATCCCAGCACTTTGGGAGGCTGAGGCCGGCGGATCACGAGGTCAGGAGATTGAGACCATCCTGGCTAACACAGTAAAATCCCATCTCTACTAAAATTACAAAAAATTAGCCGGGCGTGGTGGTGGGCGCCTGTAGTCCCAGCTATTCAGGAGGCTGAGGCGGGAGAATGGCGTGAACCTGGGAGGCGGAGCTTGCAGTGAGCGGAGATCAGGCCACTGTACTCCAGACTGGGTGACAGAATGAGACTCCGTCTCAGAAAAAAAAAAAAAAAAAAGAAAGAAAAATTGGGAACAATAGGAAAAAAAAGAAGAGAGTATAAAGTTCAGAAAAGCAATCATTTGGGATAACATAAGAGAAATGATTTTATGAGAAGTAAAAAGAAGAGGATCCATGTTAGGATCTTCAAGGAAGAATGAATGCAACTTTGGAATGAATGAAAATTAACTGAGGATGAGTAGGAAGTGATGTATCTTCTCTTGTCTGTGAATAAGAGGTATTACATCACTATGCCAGGACAAGCACCAAGCTAACATGTACAAACTTGGTTTCTGTTCTTTCCTCCCTAATTTCTCTGTCTTGGTTTTGTTTTGTTTATTCATCTTACAGAAATGTATGATATGGGGGCCGGGTTCAGTGGCTCATGCCTGTAATCCCAGCACTTTGGGAGGCCAAGGCCGGCAGATCATGAGGTCAAGAGATTGAGACCATCCTGGCTAACACAGTGAAACCCCGTCTCTACTAAAAGTACAAAAAAATTGGCCAGACGTGGTGGTGGGCACCTGTAGTCCTGGCTACTCAGGAGGCTGAGTCAGGAGAATGGCGTGAACCCAGAAGGCGGAGCTTACAGTGAGCCGAGATTGCACCACTGCACTCCAGCCTGGGTGACAGAGCAAGACTCTGTCTCAAACAAACAAAAAACAAACAAACAAACAAAAGAAATGTATGATATGTATTGTTTTGATGTCACCCCTTTGAAAACATAGATTTATGTAGAAGGTGTTTCATGTAATTACAAATAATGTCCTGAAGATAAAAGGAAAAGATAATAATGCTTTTCTTTGGGGGTGGGAAATTATTCCAGGCATAGCCCTTTTGTACCTGCAGTTGTACCGGGTCACATGTGACCAAACCTACCTGCTCCGATCCCTGGATTACGTAAAAAGAACACTTCGGAATCTGAATGGCCGGAGGGTCACCTTCCTCTGTGGGGATGCCGGGCCTCTGGCTGTTGGAGCTGTGATTTACCACAAACTCAGAAGTGACTGTGAATCCCAGGAATGCATCACAAAGTGAGTTTTAGAACTGGAAACATTTTCTCCCAATTCCCAGTGAAAGCTCTTGCTGTAGAAAGATTCAAAAAGGAAACTGTTTTTAATTTCATCCATTGCTGTAAACAGATCGTGCCAAACTGTTAATCTTGAGCATAGTGGTGGGATCATATGCCCTCTTTTTATGCAAGCATGTGTGTGCCTTAATTTTGGGAAAAATAAATATATTTCTTGATTTTAACCATCTTTCCTAAGCAATTTTTAGTTTTCTTCAATGCATGAAAATTAGCTTACATGCTTTAGATTCACCATAATAACTAAACCGATCTTAGGTTCAACCCTTAAGTAACTGATTAGATATGCTAATGATGGAACAATTAGGGAATGTAAGCTTTTATTGCACCTATTGGTTTATATTCTTTCTTGAAGAAGCAGAAATCACGGCTCATTCCTAGGGTCTGGTAGAGTATCTGGCACGTGCTAGTCAGTTAATGTTTGTTGAAAGACAGGGTGACGCTGGGTATGGCGGCATGCGCTTGTAGTTCCATTAACTTGGGAGGCTGAGGCAGGAGGATCACTTGAGCTCAGGAGTTCAAGGCTGCGGTGAGCCACCATCCTGCCACTGTACACCAGCCTGGGCAACAGAGCAAGACCCTGTCTCTAAAGAAAAAGAAAGAAAAAATAAAGAGAGAACGACAGTCTAATTCCCAAGCATTGGTGACATTGCAGTACCATTTTTTTTTTTTTTTTTTGAGATGGAATTTCGATCTTGTTGCCCAGGCTAGAATGCAATGGTGCGATCTCAGCTCACTGCAACCTCTACCTCCTGGGTTCAAGGGATTCTCCTGCCTCAGCCACCAAAGTAGCTGGGATTACAGGCATGTGCCACCACACCCAGCTAATTTTGTATTTTTAGTAGAGATGGGATTTCACCATGTTAGTCAGGCTGGTCTTGAACTCCTGACCTCAGGTGATCCACCTGCCTCAGCCTCCCAAAGTGCTGGGATTATAGGCATGAGCCACCGCGCCTGGCCTGCAGTACCATTTTTATTTAAATTTTAAATCACTTTCTTTTACTTCTGGATTTCAAAATAAAATTTTATGGTTTAAAATAGATGTAAAGGTAGAGATTAACAGAAAGATGTTTTATTTTTAATTTTGACATTCAAAAGGAGACTAGTGAACTGGAGACATTTTTGTTGTGTTCTGGATTTGGGAATATTTTTAAAAATCATAGTTTTAAATTTAAAATAAATAACAGGTAATTCCTAAAGCAACAGGTTTAGTGTTTCAGGAAGAAGTACTTTAGAATTCCTCTGGGAAAAAATTAATTTTTCTTATTGGTTAGACTTTTGCAACTCCAGAGAGCGGTTGTCTGCCAAGAATCAGACCTTCCTGATGAGCTGCTTTATGGACGGGCAGGTTATCTGTATGCTTTACTGTACCTGAACACGGAGATAGGTCCAGGCACCGTGTGTGAGTCAGCTATTAAAGAGGTACTGTGGGATATGGGCAACTATGGGCATCTCTACCATTCAAACCTGTTTGCTAGTACTGAGTTGTATTAATAGCTGGACTCTCTTTCTAGGTAGCATTATTTTTTAAAGTAAGAAATACTGAAGTATTTCTTAAGAAGTACTTTTTTAAGTACTCATCAAAAGTAAGAAATAGCCCCTATTTTTTTCTAGGAACATTAACAAAAAAAACCTTACTCTCTTTCATCTTTAATTAATTCATCTGTTTTTACTGGAGCTAAACAACCGCGGCTTTAGAGAGTTAGAATGTTTATTTATCTTTCATGAGATGTCTGAGCTGGTAAGCATTTCAGGCTGGTACGAGTGGGGACCAACTTCTTATGTCTCATTCTGCCTTATCCTAGGGGCATACCCTTATTTGCAGGACCAAAGCTAGTTTAGCCCCTCAACCTATGAAGAGGAAAGAGGAGGTGGAGGTGACACAGCTTCCTTGTTAGGGACTCGGTGTCCAAGTTGCCCACTTTACTTCTGCTCCCATCCCAGTGCCAGAACTTCATCAAGTGTCTGTGTTCAGCTGTCTGTAACTAGGGGGCCAGATGCCCAGTTAAAACTTGGAATACTTTCCCAAAAAGGATGAGAGGAGATAGACATGAGGAAACCGTCATTCCAGACATGCTATGCTTTTGATCTAGCTGAAATCCTTCATGCCAGAGCAGACCTCATATTATTAGTCTTTCATAAATAAAGCCAGTTCCTCCAGCCTTTTCTGATAGGTGTATGTGCTGCTCTTTTGGGAAAAGCACTGCAGCTATGGAGCAACTAAGAAATCCAAAACAGTTTTTATAAGACGTTCTTCTAGATTTTTGGTTGACTTTTTATACAAAGAATTTTTTATTTCTTAGACTTACTATCTTTTCCTACTCTAACATTGGCTCCTGATTTCTTTCTGCCTCCATTTATTAATTTATAAAAGAAATATAAGTATGTTAGCTGCTAACTGCTTAAAGACTTTTAGATTAAGTTTTCTGCCTCTCTCTCTATATATATATGTCATATATATATGACATACTGTTAATTGAACTACAACAGGGTACATATACAGTTTTAGATTTATGCCGTCTCGTTCTCTCTGTAGGTAGTCAATGCTATTATTGAGTCGGGTAAGACTTTGTCAAGGGAAGAAAGAAAAACGGAGCGCTGCCCACTGCTGTACCAGTGGCACCGGAAGCAGTACGTTGGAGCAGCCCATGGCATGGCTGGAATCTACTACATGTTAATGCAGGTAGGTAAAAATTCTCTTACACACTACAGTATATTTGATCAAACATGAAATGGGAAATGAATCCTGCATACAAACAATCCTGCAGGCTGGATTGAAATACCCTACTTTGAATCGCAGATGCGTAACTCTGCCTCATAAACCACAGGCAGTGGATTTCTAAGAGTCCAGTGAGTTCCTGAGTACATTTGATATGGAGTCTTAGAGCAGATTAGTTATCTCTTCCCTACACTTTTTTTTTTTTTTTTGAGACGGAGTCTCACTCTCTCGCCCAGGCTGGAGTGCAGAGGCGCGATCTCGGCTCACTACAACCTCCATCTCCCGGGTTCAAGCG